AAAAAAAAAAAAAATTTAATGAGCAGCTACTATATATGTCAAGCACTGAGCTAGGCAGCCTCTACAAAATTATTCATGGGTAGTAATTCATGGTTGAAAGCAACTCAAAACCAGGAAGAGAAAGCAAATATTTTGGCTTCTAGGATATCTAATAACCCAATGCTCTAGCAACAGCTATACGACTTACAGTTTCAAAATGAAAGTCAACATCACACCATTACTTACCTAAAATCTTATCAAAATAATTAAGAAAAGAATCTGCATCAAAAGTTATTGGAGCTTCAGAAGGTTCTCTGCAATATTAAAGGACAAAGACAATTTATTCTAAATACAACTGTTTGAAACTTTTCTAAAGTAGTGCCATTCTTAGGAAAGCTCCCAAAGATAGAATTTCTAAGGAGGCACAGCAAGAAAAATTGTAGTTTAAGTTTTAAAAATTCTTGAGTTTATTGGCCTTGAAGGACAACAGAAATGGGAAAGTCTGATAAATGAAAAGTAAAAATAGCATCTTGTTTATGTACATTTAGCTTATGCTGATTTAGGGACCTACCCACTCTCTAGCCCCAATAAGATATCTAGCATTAGCAAAACCATTATTTATTTGAGTTACTTTAAATAAAGCCTGTTCTTTTAAGAACTAAAGCTTAAAAAATAAACAAGAACATATCTTCCCTTATCCCTGCTTTCTTAAAGAGAGAATACCAAATATAAATTTAGATCTTTCATCAGGTTCAAGAGTATCAACACTAATAATGATATATGTGATACACAAGTAACAATTATTATTATTATTATTTTTTTTTTTTTGCTCTCTCTGTAGCCCAGGCTGCAGTGCAGCGGCGCGATCTCAGCTCACTGCCAGCTCCGCCTCCCAGGTTCACGCCATTCTCCTGCCTCAGCCTCCCAAGTAGCTGCGATTACAGTCGTGCGCTACCATGCCCAGCTAATTTTTGTATTTTTAGTAGAGTTGGGGTTTCACCATGCTGGCCAGGCTGGTTTTGAACTCCTGACCTCGTGATCCACCCGCCTTGGCCTCGTAAAGTACGGGGATTACAGGTGTGAGCCACCGCGCCCAGCCTACAAGTAATAATTCTATCTACCTGTTTTTCCTGTTACTTGCCAAATGTAATTTCACATTTCTGTTATTATTTCTGCCTTTGAGTTTTCAATATCCAATCTGTTTGCAGGGCGGGAGATCAGAGGTCTGAACTTGTTGAAAGCTAAATGTTGAGCCCATAAAGCTACTAAAGAGTAAAGTATATGGTTTCCCTGTGTGGTTCTGGATGATGGTTTTTAGGGTGATCTTTCTGGCTTATTTCAAGGATTGCAAAGGATGAGACTTCTAGAAATCTGACTTCAGATAAGTAAGTTATCACCATACTAGGCACAAAAAAGAAAGAAATCTGTACAACTCATTTACTCAAAAAAAAAAAAAAAGTGGAAATGGCAATGACTATGACTTCAACATTTGGGTTCTAACTATTTATATATTTATACTTTAACACAAATTACCGAGGCAGCTCTGCTCCCTTGTGGGTTGAGACTTTGGATATGAAAGCTTTCATGCTCTCTGAGACTTGAGTTAAGTCATAGTTCTGCTCCTTCTCCTCCTTGGAAATAGACTCTGATTCTTTTTTGCCAGCAGCTTCCTGCAGCAGCTGGTCCAGCTGATCTGGTGAGAGATCTAACCACTGGTCATCTGAAAAAGAAGAAAGCATGATATTGCCATTCTACATTCACATGATTAAGTCCTCTTAGGAGAGGATCCTGTGAGACTTAGTAGAACATTTTAATTTTTTTTTTTTTAACCCTTCCACTGTATCCTGGTCCATCACTTACCATCCTCTGGAGGAAGATTAGCTGCCTCTTTCTTAAGGTCTTCTATATCAAATGGTATTGTCTGTAATAAGGTTAAGATTTCTTCACCAGGGCTCATAGCAAGAGAACTATGAAAAATAAAAAACATGAGTATTTCTTCATA